GTTAAGCAATGTGCCTTAGTTTCATGCAGTTAGTGGGAGGGGGTGGGGATACAGAAAGGATTAAAACTCTGTTCCTTCTGACTTTGCTGCAGTGTACAGAACAGGAAGATGGCAGGTCAGGGCTCTGGTGTGGGCTTCACCCAGTCTGTGAATTTGAGTAGGTCCCCTGACCTCTCAAATCTTTAGAGTCCTCCTCTGTGCAATGATGGAGTTGAGGGTACACTCTATCAGTGGGTCAACTCCACTAATATGCAGGAGATGAAGATGAGAAGTCCTCCTCAGCTGGCCTGGGAAAAATGGCTTGTTAATTTTCTCTTTGCAGACTTCTTGGTCCCACAGCTATTTCAAGTCCCATTCATTTCAGACCTGCTATATGGGTTTGCTGCTGGGCTCCTGAAGTCCAAGAGGCTTTAGGGGACCCTAGGAAGTCTGGATTCTTGGTTCAGCTCTGTAAATATGTATTTAGGGAGCATTAATAACACATATAACCAGATAGGCCTTTAGAGCTATTTGTGTGTAAATCCATATTTAGTACACTATTGATCCACACCAGGCAGCCAAAACCATATTAATTTGAATGTGAAGATTAAAAACATTGTGCAAAAGTTGTTGCAGAAGATAAAGGAGTTGAAGTTCAATTTCTAACAGCCTAATGTGCTTTGCTTTCTTTTAGATGTCTCCTTTCAGCTGACTTAGCCACTTTCTTTTCTGACTGGCTTCTCCCTCTCTCTCCTTCAGCATGGCTGTTGGTGAGGTGGTTGCTACCTAAGTACTCTCTTCCCCAGAAGCCAGCAGTGTTGCTGAATGATGGTTTTCAGTTGAGTCCCTCTTCAGAATTTGCCCTCAGCTGAAGAGAACCTTGTCCACCTTGTCCCAGGTCATGCCCATTCCTGGGGACAGCTGATGACGGGTCAGTGTGGGGTGCAAAGGGCTCTCCTGGTGTCAGAGCTCCCTGCACAATGGGCTGAGGCCTTTGCAAAGACTGTGTTATACTTCAGCTCCTTGCTTTGCCCAGGCAGACTGTCCCCTCATGCTACCTCAGATGGTAATCCTGCCCCCAAATCTCCACCTCTAAGTCTATTTTCTGGGGAACTTGACCTGAGATACCACTCAAACCTAGAAACCATTCTTGAAATTCTTTTTTTTCTGACTTGGGCAAAGGTAATATTTGTAACCTAAACATTTGTACCCCTGTAATATGCTGAAATAAATAAAAAAAAAAACCCCAACCTTATGTGAATCATAAAGACATAGAAAATCTGAACAGATCAATAATGTAATCTGTAATTTAAAAAACTCCCCAAAAAGAAAAGCCCAGGACCTGATGCCTTCACTTTCTTAGAGGAAAGGCTTTCAGCCTTTTCCCATTCAGTATAGTGTTAACTGTAGATTTGTCATATATGACTTTTATTGTATTGAGGTATATTCTTTCAATACATAATTTGTCAAGAGTTTGTATATCAAAGGAATGTTGAATTTTATCAAATAATTTCTCAGCCTTTATTAAGATGATCATATCATTTTTGTCCTTCATTCTGTTAATTTGATGTATCACATTTTTTCAATTGCATATGTCGAACCATCCTTGCATTCCTGGGATAAATCCCACTTAATCCTTGTGTATTATCTTTCTGATTTATTGTTCAATTCAGTTTGTTGGTATTTTATTGGGCATATTTGCATGTATGTTCATCAGGGATATTGGGCTGTAGTTTTTTTCTTAATTTTTTTATTGTGTCCTTATATGTTTTTGATATCAGGGTGGTGGTGCCTTATGGAATGAATTAGGAAGAATTCCTTCTCCTTTAATTTTTTGGAATAGTTTAAGAACAATTGGTGTTAATTCTCTTTATGAATTTGGTAGAATTCATCAGGAAACAACTGGTCCTGGGTTTTTCTTTGTTCAGGGACTTTTAATTACTGGTTCAATCTCTTATTCATTATTGGTTGGCTAACATTTTCTATTTCTTCCTGGTTCAATCTTGGTCAGTTGTATGTATGCAGGAATTTCTCCATTTCCTCTAGGTTTTCTAATTTGTTGCACACACTTGGTCATAATAGTTTCTAATGATCCTTTATGATCTGTGATATCAGTTGTAATGTCTCCTTTTTTTTTTGTTTCTGATTTTACTTATTTGGGTGTTCTCTCTTTCTCAGTCTATCTAATGGTTTGTCAATTTCTTTAATCTTTTCAAAAAACCAACTTTCATTTCATTTAATATTATTTTCTAGTCTCCATTTTGTTTAGTTCTGCTCTAATTTTTATTATTTCTTTCTTTCTACTAATTTTGAGTTTGATTTGTTCTTGCATTTCTGATTCCTTAAAGTGCATCATTAGGTTGTTTATTTGTAATCTTTCTGCCTTTTTGACATAGGTATTTATGTTTTAATTTTTTCAATATTTCTGGGCTATGTGGTTCATCTGCAAGTTTTTTCAAATTGTCACAAATCTCCCTCCAAATTTTCAATATATTTATTGGGAAAAAACCTGCATATAAGTGGCCCCATATAGTTCAAACCAATGTTGTTCGGTGTTCAACTTTATTTTTATTATACCTGTTTATTTTCATTATGTTAATTTTGGCTCTATTTATATTAATATATTTTTGGTATCCCAATTATACCATCCATTCTGATCAGCAGGACAGTCTAAATGCAGAGTCAAGAGAAGAATTCTGTGACCTGACACTATCCACGGTCACACAGACCCACCTTCCAGGTGATGCATACCTGGTAAACACTCTTCCTGGGGCAGTTGTTCCCTGAGCCAAAGGATCAGTGGCACGGGACCACCCAGGCCACACCTGTCTGGATTTATAGGGACATTTCTATAGAGACTGGACAGGTGCTCTACCCTGTTGTAGGAGCAGATGAGCCTAAGCTGCCTAGGATTATTATTGTTGAGCCCATGAGAGAGTCTCATGCTCATGGCTTTGTCTCCCCAGTGTGCATGACTCATTTTAAACAATAAACTTTAATTTTATATAGTTTTAGATTGACAGAGACGTTGGAAAGATAGTACAGAGAGGTCTCATATATCCTGTACCCAGATTCCTCTATTAATGTCAGACATCGCAATGTTACATTTGTCACAATTAAGAAACCAACATTGACACATTACTATTAACTAGGCATCACAGTTTCTTTGGATTTCACAAGTTCTCTCTTAGTGTCCCTTTTCTGTTCCAAAATCCCATCAAGGACATTACGTTACATTTAGCTGTCCTGTCTCCTTAGGCTACTCTGGTCTGTGACAGTTTCTCTGAGTTTCCTCTGTTCTGATGACCTTGATAATTTTAAGGAATACTGATCAGGGGTTTCGTAGAATGACCCTCAATTTGAACTTGTCTGTTGTTTTCTCATGGTTCCTGGGGTTATGGATTTTAGGGTGAGGGGAAGACCGCAGAGGTGAAATGCCATTCTCATCACAGTACCAAGAGCACACGCTGTCAACATGACTTATCACTGACAATGTTAACCTCAACCCCTGGCCAAGGTAGTATTTTCCACATTTTCCCAGTGCAAGTCACTTTTCATCTTCTCTACAACTTTGCCAAGGAGCAGCACAAAAGTTTCCTTATTTGTGCTTTCCAGAATCTATTTTTCCCTTGTGCCAAAAAGGTAGTATGTTTGACTGTTTAGTTTTCTGACTCCTGTCTCACTCACTGTGAGCCCTGAAAGATTTGATCCATTGTTTTCCAATTATATTTGCAAAATCTTTCAGTATTCAAGGATGCGATAAATCTCAGGTAGGATATATCCACATGTTTCATTTATTTATCTATTCAGTGCATATTTAATACCATTTTTATTCCAAGGTCTCTCCTAGTTTCTGGATGAGGATGAACAAATTCATGAGCTATAACTTTCCTCCTGTTAGGCCAGCCTTGTAAAAAACATTACTACACTTTAGTGTTCCAGCATTACCAGGGCAGTGGTGATGAGGCTGTCTGATGAACTCTCCCCAGGGGTGCAGTTGAGGGATCCAGAAAGATCTCACTGAGTTGGTAGCACATAGGGTGGTTCGTCTATAACCTTTTTCTAGCTCCCTTTGACCTTCCAGGACTTTCACATTTTGTTTCTGTCTGGTTTTGCCTAAAACCCCAGTGCTAACTGTTTGCATACTATATAGATGTCTGGGACCCAAAGAGGGAACCAGCTTCGGACTAAAGGGACATTGGGTAACAGCCATCACCCTATGCATCAAGTTGGCCACAGGAAATGCCTCCCAGTGAGAACAGAAAGCTAACAAGGCAAGAGCTTCCACCCAGCCCCCAGGGTGATTCAGGTTCTCAGGCGGTGAGCATTACACACGGCCCACAGGCTATAAACCACCCTAACAGGCGTAATGACTTTCGTGCCTCCACCTGAAGGGGCTCATTGCAATAAGGTAACAGCTCTTACAGATGCCTCTAGCTTTAACTATGGGAACACTTGCTTTATAGTGCCACCTGAATGATCTATATCCTATTCTCGTCAATGGCAATTTCAGGAGTGATTTGGCTTATGTCTTTTGCGCATGTGTGTCTACACAGCGCCCTGAAAACTTTTGGCATTGAGAACATGCGAAGGGGGTGTCGCAGCTGCAGAGCTGGAGGTGGAGAGACTGGGGCCCTGAGCTAGACGTCATTAGGAGATAACCCTCAGGAGTTCACACTGGTCACAGGGACAAGACTACCACCATTCTGCATTCATTCACTCATTCACACTCACATTCATTCACAAACCCTTACTGAGCTCTCCATTTACCAAACACAATATTGCCACATACCACGATTTCCTGTGAGTCAGGTTTCCTTCTGAGCTCTGTTGGCAGAGGAATACACTCAGGTAAGCTGTGACTTTACTAGGCCGTGGGGCAGATTCTATGATAGAAAGGAGTGCAGCTAATGGGGCTGTGGATACAGGGTGGGTTAAGTGGTTTGGGGAGTTTCCTAAGCCAAGAGCCCAGGCATTATTCTTCACTCTTCCGTCTCCCTTTCCAGAAGATGCCCCTGCCAATGAATGCAAAACTTGTCACTTCTATTTCCTAATGTCTTTCTTGAAGCATTTACTTGTCCCCATCCTCACTACCCTAACCATAATTCATTGCTTCCTGCTTAGATTACTGCAACTACCTCTCACTTGCTCTCCCATTGCCAGCCTTCTCTCCCTCCTTCCGTTCCAAATGCACTTTCTAAAGTGCAGATCTGGTCACCCTTCCCTCCTCCTCCATAGTTCCTCACTGACTGTAGAATAAAGTCCTAAAGGCTTTTCATAGCAATCTTCTCCTGCTTATTTCTCTGCTGCATCTCTCATTTGTCTGCTCCCTCTTCAAGTGTGCGTGTGCCCTTGTGTGTGCACGTGTGCCTGTGTGCACACACATGCTCTCCCCATCTTCCCCTGCCCTCCACCCTGGCCACTTGGCCGAGTCTCAGCTTAGCTTTTATTTCCTTGGCAGAAGCTTCCCTGGCCTCTCCCATAACCCTTACCATCCTGTACCTTGCTGTAATTACCTGTTTCCCTCCAGGACCATGGGCTCCTCCAGGGCACAGACTCTGTCCATTTCTTTACCCCCACCCTGCCCCCCAAGACCTGTCATAGTACCTGGCCCACAGGAGTTAGTCGATAAGTGTCTGATTAAAGAAGAAAGGAAAGGAAAGAATATAAGAAAAAATCTGAGCATGAGTGAGGTTCTGTGTGCTGCTACCAAGGTGGTTCTGGAGACCGGGAGGGCTGTGGCTGGCGCATTTGCACTCTGCAAGTCTTGGAGTAATGCCCAGCCACGCCCCTGAGTAGTTCAGCATGGAGCAGTTTTCTGTGCAAGGGTAGTAACACTAAAACAATTCTGTAATTATTTTACTTCTGTCCCACCATGTTCCAAAAAGGATTTATGAAAAAAAGTATACTACAAAATTTTAAAAAATCAGTAAGTGAGAAAATTTGGTTTCTGGAAGAGGTTAGTACCCAAATGGGGTCAATATTCTTTAAAAAATGTGTACACTTGGGCCATGAATTGGCTCTGAGATACCTGACAGGCCACGCAGAGAAGGAAGCATGATGGGCTTTAGGGTGTTGTGACATTCATCAAATGAAAACAAGCTAATTGCAGTGGAAAAGAACAAGGTTTCCTGGTACTGAGTCTGGAAAGAAATTTCTCCTGTGGATTCTTTTAAAGAAGAAGCCAGCTAACATGAGGAATAATCATCTCAGCCACGTCTTTTCAATAGGACAACGGGGAGAGATCTTGGAATGGCCCTACCCGGTAGCTGATGACCAACACTTCAACTCATTCTAGTAAGAGTGCTTCCACAATGACATCAAACCATGATGTCTATGCACCTTGGTCTCTGATGATTCAATTGAATCCAGGTAAACGTTTTAGAGGATTTGGAACAGCGTTCATAAACCGGTCTCTATAAGGCCTATGAGCCTTTGACACTATATGGAAATTTTTGAACACACGTTTATGAACATTTTCCAAGGGTGAGAGCTTATCATTTTTCCTTCAAAGTTCAGAATGACTAAATTAGAGACACAGCTGGGACTCTATCTCCGTAGATTATTTATTACCCATCAATCTTTCGCTCTGGATTGTTTGGCCAGGAGTTTGGGGCTATACGATGCAACGAGTGCAGGGAACCAGTATGTGATGCTGCAGGTTAAGACGGTCGGTCGACTGAAGTGGGCTGGAGCTTATATCTGCAAGTGAAAGGTGAGCGGCTCAGTGTTGTTTGAACCCAAGGCCAGCGCTGTTGCACTTCGTGTTTATGGAAGGAATAAACAGAAAGGGCAGCATTCCATCAAAAGAGACAAGGGCCAGAGCAGCCAAGCAGCCGTCCAGACACTGTGGACTCAGTCAACACCCGGAGCCACAGAGCTGCAGCCGGCAGCAGAAGAAGGGAGATGGAGGCGCTAAAGGGAAGTGGTCCCCTGCTCCAGGTTGCCTTTAATCAGGTCGATTAATGAGAGTCTGTAAATAAGCCCTAATCAAAAGATGCCCTAAACCCTGGAGAACTCTCATGCTCTCTCTCTTATTTATTTTTTTGTGGATTAATTTTTTTCTGAGTAGAGATGAGAAAGGAGCCATTATCTAAATGAGGCTGGGTAAGGTGATTAGATGTTATTTACAGAAAGGGCATGAAATCATCCACTGGACCCTGGGTGTGCTTAGCAAGACATTATTTCGTTATCAGTGTCACTATTTTTATCGTTGCACGGGGACGCCTCTGGTGTGGTGAGGAGGGATTCCCTTATTTCAGTAATCGCTGATTACAGGAACTTGAAAAGTCCGTCATTTCCAACACAGCAATACTCAGGGGGCCGGTATCTAATGCAAACCACAGATTTTTCAATCAATCTATCAGCAGATACATATTGATCGCCTACTACGTGCAGAGAAGATTCATGAGGAGTGGCAGCTGTGGAGTACGGCCCAGCCTCCAGGAAGCCTGTCTGCAGACGCGGTGTGCTGGGCAGTCCTTCCCTGACGTCAGCGTGCCCCGGGATCGTGGAGACCTTGGTAAAATGCAGAGTCTGCTTCAGGAGGTCTGAGGTGGGGCCTGAGAGTCTATATTCCTAGCAAGCTGGAGCAAGGACCACACTTTGTGTAGCCCAGTGGCAGACCGCAGATTGCCATGAGCAAAAGCTGGGTGCATGGGCTCCCAGTAACGCTCCAGCGCTGGCTACCTGTGCAACCTTGGCCACACTGCTTCGCCCTGAGCCTCAACTTCCTTTGACATGAAACCTGTGGTCCTTTTGGGCGGGTTGTGCACTGCACAACTCCTCCAGGGGCACTATGACATGGACTACGGGTGAATGGTGTCCTCTAGGGTCATGCGGGACACAACCTGCCCGAATGTACTCGGAGCTCCTGAAAGGGCTGGATCAGACAGTGGTGGCCAACCCTGGCTGCACTTTGCTATCAACTGCTGAGTTTTTAAAATGCCAATACCTGAGCCCCCACCCATGATTCAGACTTACTTGCTCCAGGATGAGACCTAGGTGTTGGTACTATTTTTAATGCTCCCCAGAGATTAGGAGATGATCCTTAAAGCCCATTGCAGCTCGAGGTCCTATGATTTTTCGACTGTGCCCACAGAAGCCTTAAATTGTTGAACTTGAGAAGACAAGAGGAGGGAAAGATGAGTGCAGAATGAGGAGTCCAGTGGGTGTTCCAGGGTGGGTTTAAACAGAGCCACTAGGAGGAAGAAGCCACCCTGGGTGAAGCCATCCTGGGAGGAGCCATGTGAACATTACTGAGGCTTCTGTTCATGTAACACATTGCTATTTGGGCTGATGCTGGGGATAGACCCGTAACTTCCTGTATATCAGGGGAGAAAGACAAACAGAGAGCAATGTCCACGAATGCATAATCATGTGTAATAGCAAGGCCTTGGAAGGGAAGATGGAGCAAGGAATGAGGCATATGACAGAGGCCCCGATTTGGGATCAGGGGATTGAGGAAGAAGCAACAGAGCTGAGAAAAAGAAAAATGGGGAGATGCATCCCCTTCCGTCCCAGACACTGTGTGTTTGAGGCCTTTTGGTGACAGGATGAGGGCAGGGAGGTAAGAGTGGGCCAGGGCTTGTCCCCAGCTGTGTGGGCTCTGTGTCCTTGAGGGATTGGCCACCCCTAGGACCATGTGATCCTGCCTGGTTAGAACTGGCTGCCTGAGCTTGGTCCTGCCTGGCCTTGGAATAGACGGTCTTGTGCCTATGGGCATCTCATTGAACTTGAGCACCCAGAGGGAGGTTCTCTTAAGTCTGAAATGCATGTCCTACTTTGTATTTTCTTGTCAATCCAACGTGTCTTTTTCTACCCTCATTGTCCTGTCTTTTAGGCCTTGACTTGGAAACTGTGGCCAGGAGTTTTGTTGGGCCCCCTCCTGCCCCTAGCTCCACCTTAGCCCCACTCTCCACGGGCATCTTAACTAAAATGGCTCCTGCCTGCTCTGAGCAGAGGGGCCCTCCCCGGTCCGCCCGAGGAGCGTGATTGATAGCACTGCTGCAGTGCGAGACAAAGAAGCCCTCTCTGGTTTTTGTATTAATGCTGGGTTATCTCCACTGTATTGATTTTTTGTTTGGCTTTTGAAATTTCTCTTCTCTGTTCCTGAGCCATTTCTATAAAAATGAAAGAGGAGGTGAGGGATGATGGCGCCTGGGTTGACAAGCTTTGCTGACTTGCAGTATGAGCTGCTATTTTCCATTTAGGTCTTTCCGAGCCTGTCAACTGCCTCTCCTGGGCAGAAATATATTTAAAATGTGGTATGAAAAGGTCCCCGTGTGTCAACAGTAAGAGCCTGCCACCAGGTTTAGTCACTGGATTAATCTTCCCATCCTTAGCACTTGGGTCTCCTTCAAAGGGCAATGAAGATTTTGATGGGCTCCAGCCTGCCTCTCCCAGTTCCCCTCTTTCTCTCTACGAAGACAGCTCATCTTCTGCAAAACTGCCAAGGGATGAGGCTGGCCTTGGGGACACTCAGCCTCCCTTCCTCTCCTCTGTTTCCCCATCGAATATGTCCCATTCCTTCCTCTCTCCTCCTCACCTCTTCCTGCTCTGAGAGCCGCCATCAACCCACCTGGGTGTAAATGACGTAGTCTGGAGAGTGTGTGTGTGGGGGTCCTTCCCCAGGGAGTTTTTCCTTTACTAGGACTTAAGCCTTAAGGATTTTAAGCTCTAAATAAATAGTAGAATTTCATACATTCCTCAGCAGAGAGAGGCTGTTTTGGAGGAAGGGTGGAAGTGCAGCATTCCCTGAAATCTGAGTGTCACTGTCTATTTGTGCTGTACTGGAAGTGCCACCATCAGATTGGAGGGTGCACTGGGGCAGTGCAGGTAGTGTGGCTGCATCTGACATCCTTGGGCCATTCATTCATTCAGCTAGTCAACAAGTACTGGAATTGAATTAGGAACCTATTTGCTTACCATATTCTGCTGGACTCACAACCCTACTGTGTCAGGGTTTGTATCTCTTTAGCCATTCATTTTTCACTCCATAAAGAATCATGCAGCCCTAGGGCCAGACACTGGGCAAGAGAATCCTGTCTGCATGGAGCTGCCCAGGATGGAGACCTGAGGTTGTTTCTGCCTTCGCTTCTTTTCCAACACCAACACATCCAGGCATCTTGTCCTGCCTCCCTACTGCTGGCCTTGACCTCTCTCATCTAAAGTTTCTAGAACAGTGCTTATCACATATAGCACGCCCACAGTACATGTTGGTCTACCGTCATCCCCACCACACCCCCAAAACCTGATTTAACATGCAAGGTCGGACTCCTCTCTTGCTCAGACGTCTCCAATGGCTCCCCATTTTCCACAGAATAAAATCAGAATGGCTTTGAATGGCACATAGGCCCGTCTGGACTTGGACCCTGCCGTCTGTCCAACCTCATCTTCTGCAACCCCCTCCTGTACCAGTCAGGGTTCTTCAAACAGAACTGATAGGATATGTATCTATATTCAAGCCTTGGGAACAATCTGCGTAACCCACAGTTCAACAAGTTCAATGATCATCTCATCCCTAGACACCTTCCAAGTGGACATGTGAAATTAAACATCGCACCCCATTTGCCCTTGATGTTCTGGAAATATTGCATCTCTTATTAGCTACCCAACCCAGCACACTGTCCTGCCTCTGGCCTTTGTGCACGCTGTCCCCTCTGCCTGGCTACCTGCTCCCACTCTTGGACACCCTCTCACCCTTCCAGCCTCAGCTAGGGGCACTCTCTCTCCTTAACCCCTTCTTGAACTCTCATAGATTTGGGAGTTTGGTTGTCACTGCTCCCATTCTATTTGTACTTGGCTTTGTTACCTCATTGATGATGTCACAAGTGCTGGCTGGCAAGCTCTCTTCCACTAGGAAGGCAAGGGCTTATCTTTTCAATTTTGTCTAGCTCAAGCCCTGTGGTGTAGGGGAAAATCTCATGAGCATTAGGGCCTTAGCCAATGATCTTGTAATTACCCTAGCATGTCATTTTAGCCACTTGCAAAGTGGGGGATTGAACTGGTAGGGCAGTGACCACTAATCTCTTACCCTGATAGTTGTTGTCCCCTTATTTCATAGTCATAGAGCTTTTAGCTGAACCCGAGGCCACCTGAAAGTAAAACTACATTTCCCAGCAGCCTGAGCAGCTGTATGTGGTCATGTGACTACATCATGGCCAATGGGATGCAAATGGAGCGTTCTCAGCACCTTCTGGGAGCCTTTCTTCTCTGTTACTTCCTCCACCAAGCTGTCTGGAACCAAATGCCACCATCTTGGACCATGAGGATGTAGAGCAGAGGCAAACAGATGACTATGGACTCCCCCAAGCCCAAGCTCTTTTATGCCTTCATCTGAATTTTATGGGAGAGAGAAGAACACCACTGTTCTGTTTAAGCCACCATGTTTGGAATCTTTGTTTCCTGCAGTGTGTTCAATCATAAAAATACATCCTGAAAAGGCTTTCCTAACTCTTCAGGGGAAGTCAGGATGAGCAAAGGGGGTGTAAGGGGGCTGGGCTAGCCCTGCTTACTCACTGCCATCCCAGTCCAATGACATCGGTTCCACTTTTGTGCATTTTCCATGTTGACTTAGAATTTGTTTGGAGATGGGCGGGCTAGAAGCTCCCTGAAGTACCAATCATTTCTAGCCTTCTGTGAATCTGTCCATAACAAAATAAAAAAGGGAACAATTTCAGAAAGAGAAGGAGGGTCTCTCTATTATGTATACATAGACAAACATGGACGTCAATGGCCACAGACTTTATTCTTGATGGTGGAACTTTAGGCACCGTGGTGGGTGTTAGGGAAGATCTCTGTCATCTCTGTCTATGTCTTGGGGATGCCTGAGTGGTGTCCTCTCATTTCCTGCCCACTTTGTACTACCCATCACAGAGCTGGGCAGGTATCAGGTATTAAATAGATCTGATGAATGAACACTGGACTGAATGAGCACATGCTCACTCGCTGAATGAGCACACTCCATACTAACTTCTGCACAGCAAATGCTCTCACTGGCTGTCTTAAAAGAGCTGTGGGTTTGTTTCTTGGCAGTTCTGCAGTGTGGCCTTATTTCTTCCCAGTCTTGGCTCAGGAGTCTTTGTGGTGGGCTGGAGCATCTGCCTAGTAACAAGCCACGGCAGGGACGGCAGACGTGGTAAGTAGGCTGGACCTGCAGTGGCCACGCCAGTGTGGTGCATGTGTATGCACCTGTGGTTCGTCACTGTCTCTCTCCCAGGCTGGCGTCTTCTTTCCAAGAATTTACTCAGGCATCTCAGAAGGGTGCCTACTGTGGCAGATGATAAATTTAAAGCACTGGGCAGTTGGACAGTCAGGCAGCTGCAGTGGGCGGGAGCAGAGCTGAACGATCTCTGGGTTTTCAGTGGGGCTGCCCTAACTCCTCCATGGCTGTGGCTTTCCCCAGGTGCTGTTATTAACCCTGTTGCATAGGCAGGAAAGCAGAGGCACAGGCAGGTTCAGTCGCTTGCCTGTCACTGCCCCCCCCCAGCCTGAAAGGGACTGTCCAGCTCCATTTTTTAACCCCTATTTATCTGCCAATGTAGTAAGTGTGGAATTGCTTTGCACACTGGTTGCAATCCATGCAGCAGGCACCGCTGCTATGATTGCTGTCATCCAGAGAGGGTTGGTGGCAGTGGGCACCTTCCCCTGTGAGCTGAGACTTACTTCATCTTCCTGGGTCCCATTCATGCAGCTGGGGTGCAGCGAGTGTGTGAGCAAATGTGCACGTGTGTGCACATGTGTGTGAGAGCAGATGTGCATCAGCACGTGTGCACATGCCTGTGTGAGGATGACCCGCCACCGCCACCTCCAGCCTTAGCGGCAGCTGGTGCTTCCAGTGCAGGAGGACCCGCACTTTGCCCCATCCTGCAGTCCATCATTTTCCCAGCTGGGCGCCTGTCACCAGCACTCGGCGAGCACGTGTCATCTGGGCCTGAAGGATGGCTTGGCCCATGGAGGGGCTCTGGCAGGGGTGGCAACTGTGACCTGAGGCAGGAATAGGTGGGGCAGGGTAGTCTCTGCCCAGTTGCCCTAGTAATGTGGGGGTGGCCCCAAGAGATGTGCCCTGGCCCCTGCTCCCACCCTGGGGCTCTGTGTCCTGCCTGTCAGGTCAGTATGAGAGAGGCGGGCTGAGTCCTGGGCCACGTGAGCCCTGCCCGGGGTCAGCCTTCATTCATCACTTCCTCTGACACTGCTTCTGCAGCAGCTTCGCTCTTTCAATGGAAGGGGAGAGGGGAGGAGGGGAAGATAAGGAAGCTTCGAGGGCCTTCAGGGCCTGAGGGGTTAATGAGATAGAGATGAGGCCCAGATTTAGGACCAGGGGTCTGGGCCAGCCTTGGGAAAACGAGTGGAGGGCAGAACTTGGGCCCAGGAGGCCAGAAACCCGGGCGAGCCAGCAGCATTGCCTGGTGGTCGTGTGCACCAGCCCTGCAGCCGAAGCCTGCACGCCAGCCCAGGCGCCCACCCCGAAGGCACTGGGTAGCTTCACCTCTCTGTGCCTCTGTTTCCTCGCCTGTGGAAAGTGCATCTTAGTAGTCTCTGACTCTGCCAGTCTGCCTGGCGCTGTGACTTAGAACATGGCTTGGCCTTAGTAAAGATGCAGTAAAAGGTAGCTGCTACCGCCACTGTTACTGCTCTGGTTGAAGCTCGTAACCCACCAGGAAACCTTGGTCAAGAGGGTCTCGTCCCTCTGGGCCTCAGCTTAATGCCAAGCTGCATAAGCTCCCTAAACCCTCCGAGCCATTACTGTATAAGGGGGACAGTAATTCCAGCAACAGAGAGGGGTCCCACATAGGGAGCAGGTAGGAAACAAGGGGACATTTGTCACGTAATGACTTGGAAAGTCCCTTCCAATGCCTGCATGAAGATAGTTTGCTTTTGGAACACCCACCCTTTTTCACGATTCCCCCAATTCAGCCCCATCTGTGACCTGTTCTCCTAGCATTTTGCTTATAGCCAGTTGTGAAACTGGGGACCAAGCTGACAAGGCAGTGCCCCAGCTTTAGCCTTGCTTTGGAATGGCATTTTCAAAGGAGATCTGGAGGACCGAAAATTTTTGGAGGCTTAATGGAACGGCATGCTAATGGTGGCATTCCCGGCATTGTGGCAGGCAGGGTTGGGGCAAGCAGGGTTCAGTTGCTCCCTCGTCATACCCTGTAGACAGCTGCTTTGCAGGTGGCCGTGCTTGATGCATGTGGCTGCTTTGCTTTTCTTCCCTCCCTCCCTCCCTTCCTCCCTTCCTCCCCTTCCTTCCTTCCTTTCTTCCTTCCTTTCTTCCTTCCTTCCTTCCTTCCCTCCCTCACTTTTCTTTTTCTACTTGGATACATGGTTTTACATGCCAGGTAGTTCAGTTTGCCCTGAGCGCTGCAGGGTTAAACCTGGCTCCATACTGTGTGCACACATGTGCCTGCGACTCACCCTGAAGCTTGGGCGGCCCTTGGAGAACGTTGCCTTCACAGGATCACTTTACAGAAGAGAATACTGAGGACTGGGACTGTGAGAGATTTCCCCAAAGCCACACTGCCAGTTAAAGATAGGGCTGGACAGAACCACGATCTCTTTCCTCCTGCACATATCTTTCCGTATATCAAGTTCCTCAGTTCATAAATGCGAAAACAGCAGCCGAGGAGCAGACACCAAAATCCATCTGGATCAGTTCAGACACTGGCCGGTGTTGTCCTCGCTAGTTTCTCACGGGGACTTTGAACAACCGTTGGCTAAGGACAGAGCCCACACTTGCACTGACAGTGAGACAGTCCTAATGGAATTCAAGTGTCAGAAGGGAACTTTGAAACAATCTACTCCAGACTCTCCTGTATGGTTTTTCTTTTATAAATAACCTTTTTGTAATTTTCTTTAAAAGTGATGACACACAATAGAGAAATCTTAGAAAACATGAGTGAGCTAAATAAATTAATAAATAAATAAAACTACTCACGATCCTCCTTCCATCCAACATAATGATGATGAACATTTTGGTCTGTATTCTTTCCACTTTAAAAAGTAATAAAATATTTCACATGAAATAGTGAAAATACAGAAAAGAATATAGTGAGCACTCATATCTACTACTGAGGTGTGAAAAATATTTTAATTCCTACTCGTTTTACTAAATGAAATGCTACTGTGAATTGAGGGCTTCTCGGTTTCCTGCTCCATGCTGCTATCATGCTCTCTCTTCCAGAAGTTTCTGAATTCAGAGAGCACCTTTCTTGCCCAGTTTTTATACTTTGCCCCACTGGTAAATCTTCACCCATAACGATGAAGGGTTGCTTTGCATAAACTTTACATCAATGCCATCATCCAGTACATATAATTCTGCAACTCTCTGCTTTTCCTCAGCATTGTGTTTTTGAGATATAGCCAGGGTGTGTTAAACATAGATATAGTGAACTGCTTTTAACTGCTGTATAGGACTCCATTGTATGATTATGCTATACTAGAGTAGTACTATACTATAGTAACTACACTATGTTACTGTGCTATGTTTTTCCAATCTACCAGTGCCGGTCATTTAAGTGTTACCAATGTCCGGTTGGGGTCCTCAGACTTTTTAAACAGGGGCCAGGCCAGTTCACTGTCCCTCAGACCGTTGGAGGGCTGTTGGAGAGTGAGGCGCACATTCCACACATGCGCACTGTGGGCCCGGGACGTGTCGGCTGCTAAGCAGGACAGGCAGGGCCGGCAAAATCACCCGGCGGGCCGGATAAATGTCCTTGGTGGGCTCCATGTGGCCTGCAGGCCGTAGTTTGAGGACCCCTGGTCATAACAAAT